GTACAACGGCACTGGTTAGCATCGAGACATCTGCTTTAGTAGTTCATAGGCTCAGTTACGAAAATCAGGAAGCCTACGTGGAGGACAAGTCAAAGATCCCCCGTGTAGCCTTGGCAGAATGTTGGGACAAGTGCTGTTAGCGAGCACCTATGAAGGGCGGCACGGCACGCGTTGGGGTGGTTGGCCAGCAACACGCCCCACCGCATTCGTCTCCCCAGTAGCGATGTTTACTCATCACGCTAGGCACTCATTTAAGACCTAGTCGACCTAGGGGCTGGCCAACGACCGTTTCAGATAAGCATCGCTGTTGATGGCCGTGCGTGGGATTCGAACTTGGGTAACCGGGTTCGTAGCGTCGCGCGCTAACCACTACACTACCGCTCCCCCACGTTCTTCCAATGATTGAGCAATCATTGGAAGGACGTGATCAACCACGTCAAGTTTTAACTGCTGTGATTTTCACTCACCCACCCGTGCTGTTTTCGTTTACTAATTTAAGCTCATTGACATGTTAATTGTTCCAGCCTCCACCCGTCCCTGCACGCCACAAACCCTCACCCCTGTCCCCCCGTGAACTTCTGCAGCCACGACTCTACAAACCCTTCCCTCCCCCCCCCCCCCCCCGTGCCTATATAAAGCCACAACAGCAGATCATTATTTCTCACCTGATGACGGACGCTTGTGTTGCGACCGAAACGTCGTGTTCTTTTATTATTACTTTTTTCTACCTACGTGACTTTACCGAAAGAACCAGAGAGTGTGGATCCCTGCAGTCACGAAAGCTTCAAATCAAGATTAGTTGCGGCAGTGTTTAGTTACGTCTCTTGGCAAATGAGAAAAATAGTTACGCATCATTCTGGTGTCTTTGCTTTTAATTGTAGCAGCGCATATTTGTGTAATTTTGAACGTACGAGAAAATATTCCCCTTATTGACATGCGTATGTTGGTGTGCTTGTGTGTGTGTGTTTGTCTTTGTGTAGAGTGGGGAGCGCTAGTGCAACGTTTATCGCGCTGTGCTACGAACCCGGCGACCCAGTGACGATTATCTGAACCGGTCCTGGGCCTCCCCTAGGTCGACTAAGCATCAAATTAGTACCCGGTGTGGTGTGTAAACATTGCAATTGGGGAGACAAAGGCGGCCGGGCGTGGTGCTGGCCACCCACCCCGTGCTGGCCTTCATAGGCGCTCGCTAACAGCACGTGCCCCATCAGTCTGCTTAAGGGATCTTCGTCTTTGTGTGGGTATATATATAGTACTGTAGTACTGTTGTGACTGCATTCGCGTGTGTGTGGTGATCCCGACTGCGCTGCGAACCCAGCGAACAGAGTTCGATTCCCGACTCACGACGAATGGCAGTGGCGAATATTTGAACCGGTCCTGGTGCCTTCCCCATCGGTCGACTTAAATGAATACCTCGTACGCTGGCTGGTGTGTGAACATCAGCACCGGGGGAGACAAAGGTGGCCGGGCGTGGTGGCGGCCACCCGCCACTGAAAGAGGTGCCCGTTAACGGCACTTGCCCCAACATTCTGTTCAGGGCTGAATGGGGGGGAATCTCTGTCTTTGTTACAATATCGTGAATGTACATTTCACATAGAGTACATACGTGTGTGTGTATATATATACTTGGCCGGGCTGAAATTACGAATTTCGCTTCTCGTGTTATTATTTAACACGATGATGTTGTGTTTAAAGGTGGGGGGGGGGGGGGGGTTGTTTAGTTTAAATTAGAATTATCTGACCAGCTGAGCCCGATGAATTCGTAAGAAGGTGGTAGTTCGTGTTACGATGATACCTTTGGTATGCCAAGAAGAGGCATTGCACGGCACACACACACAGTGCACGCACACGTGAACACGTGTTACGCGAAGAGCAGTAGAGACCCCGCGTCCACCCAGTATATATAATAAGAAAGGCAAAGATCCCCCGTGTGGCCTCAACAGACTGTTGGGGCAAGCGCTGTTAGCGAGCATCCTTCGAAGGCCTGGCACGGCACGCGAGGGAGTGACGTGCCCAGAACCACACCCGGCCGCCTTTGTCTCCCCGGTGCTGACGTTGACACGCCGCGCCGGGTACTCATTTAAGGCTGAGTCGATCTAGGGGGGCCCAGGCACCGGTTCAGATATTCGCCACTGCTATTTGGTTGTGAGCGGGAATAGAATTCGCGTTGTAGCGCAGCGCACTAACCAATACGCCACCGCTCCCCACAGTATATGTATACTGCACACAACATGTATGCCATACGTACATATGATTATGTTTAGACGATTTAAGATTGTTGCACGATGTATCTTTATATTGTGCAACGGATGTAACGAACGATGCATCGATTAATCGGTTAATGAACATTCGTAAAGAGCACCAGACGTGTTTAATAATCACTTAGCGCGTGTAATAACAATCACCTGTAGATGTAAATTATGTGCAAATACAGTGCTACAATACATTGCTAATGTTAGAAACAGTACTAATATTAGATACAGTGCTAATGTTTGATTAATTTTAACTAAGCGGAGTTAAAACTGCACCGACGAGACCAATACAGGATGGACAAACGAACCGAGTAAAATAATCGATATATTTATCAGCTATCGCTACATCCCTGGTACTGCACAATATATATAAACACATACTTTTTTTTATATAGTACATTATGTATGCGTGCTGTACACTATATTCTATAATATGTATCTGGTGATGGTGATGCTGCTGCTGCTGCTGCTACATTAGCAGCGCAAACACAAACAACAATCTCTAAACTCATCAACACCACGTTGGCCTCAACATAAAAATATAGACGTTTCGGCCAATGGCCCTTAAGAGCATATAAAGCCTGCCGCGGCTGCTTGTGACGTGAGCCAGGGGCTATTGGCCTCCTGCAAATCTTGTCCAGAAGCCCAACGGCCTTTGGAATCGACCACGTGAACAATGAATGTATTCAGCTGACAATTGCTGAGATATTCCATGACGTCTTTGTGGCGGAGACGGAATAGAGAAAAGTACGGCGACACAGACGGCTACTGTTGTTGACAGTTAACAGCTTTACTTTAGCCACCTGCAGCCCCCTGCTGATCCACTGCTGGATAAAGGCTGCCCAACGCCCTGTCAGTCACGCGGACTCCCCGCGATGGCTAGGAGATGTTAACTACCTCGCCCGGTATACAGGAGGCCGTGGCGTTCGACCCCGACGCCCTGCTGCTGTATGTCTCGGGTCCTCCGGATGTTTCAGTTCCATATTGAGAATCGTGCGTTTGGAGTATTTGGCTGCTCGAATTGTCCACGTGATGATAACCCGCTTCGTCGAGCTTTCAAGTGGTCAGTGCGAGGCCGCCTCGCATGTCGGCTACATGAATGCATTCACGCACAATCAATTATATCATTACAGCAGCACTCGGACGGCGGATAGGTCCTAACCAACGACCCTCAGCGGAGTTGGCGTCACTTCTACCGGTGTAGAGTGCCACAATTGCTTGGTTCGCTGACGACGGCGGTGCCGTGGGTTTGGTTGTAACCGTGTGTCAACGTCTGTGGCCTGGGACTCGGGAGCCAGCGGTGTAGACCTCCGGGAAGGAACCTGCCCCCTCTGGGTCACACCGATAACCCTCGACAGCGTAAAGTGACAGCAAATTTGCATAGGCGTATCAATCCGCTGCGGGATGAATAGAAGGCCCCTCCCACGCCGTGTCGGGTTGTTTTAACATACTTCACCACGCCGCAGGTCAATGGTAGCGCCATTGATGATAGCCGTGGCCGGGAATTTCGACCAACCCAGGTCTCCTCTGATCTTATGGGTGCGATGCGCGCTAACCACTGCGCCACCGCTCCACCGTAGCTGTTTGTTGTTGTTTTTTTACTACCGTGTACCGAACACGAGAATACATAAAAGCGCGTGGCATTAACCCCTTCACGTTCGCCTAGGAACACTCAACTATTCAACCATCGGCGTGTATCAAATGTAATTTGCAACACGTGTCTGAAAATTGCCGGAGCATACGCGACGAAGAGGCAACGCTCACCACTACCTTAGCGGTCGAATACGTTTCGAGAAGAAGATGATAAACACCGCGGTAGAACCACGTAACGTGTCCACTGTTATAAAGTAAGGTCGACGACAGACGTGGGCCGGGGTTCCGTCGCCAGCGTGGCGTTGCGAGCATTGCCACCGAGTACGCAGCCAAAGGAGAGAAACGCGCCCGATAGGGCGTCCTCCGTGGAGAAGGAGCGATGATGTGTACGCATGCATGTACACGTTGAACTTCTTTCGCGCTGTACCTAGCCAAGCGTGCTAATCCGAGGTGCGGGGGGAACGACAACAAACCAGAACACAAAAAAGCAGTTCTCAAAGATACAGGGTTTCAAGCCAAACGATTTAACAGTGCGTAGCTACAGTGGCTTCCTAATATCGGAAGGAAGAGCGTTCCAGACGGCCGCAGAAGCGCGTTTGAAAGCGCGGCGATGCAGACGCGCTCGGGTGTGAGCGCTGTGACTCGATGTTTCACGTCGGAGGATCGCAAAGAGAGATACAATGGCTCTGGCAAGGCTTCTACATTCGGGCAGTGGATTGATCATGGTTGACGATGATAATAATCGGGGCTTGATTTCTCACTCGATACGTTCGTGAACGGTGGTTAGGCTGCCTTGGGGCAGTAGGGGTTATCGGCGTAAGGCACTACCACTAGAGTACAGGGCACGCCTATCCGTTACAATCCAGTACTGTTATGCTAATTGTTTGGGGATACGGCTTTGGCAGTGTTGCACAAGCACAAATAACATATATTTTAAACATTTGTCAATTACACTCTCAAAATAAAAAAAACTTTACAATAGGCGAGATTCTGGGCAATGGCCCTCCCATGTGTTATGGAGAAGGGCCACTGCCCGAAACGTCATCTGTTTCGTTGTTTTAAGTCGTGTTGTTGAATATGTGGTGGGTTCCCCCCCCCCCCCCCCCATAATATTATGGATAGGCACACCTTGTAGCACTATCAATAATAATCTTATTTTGGGGGGTTTTCCCCGTATGTTCCTTTAAACGTTTGTAAATATGCCAACACTAGACATAAGACAAGAGCCAAGATGGACGTGGCACGTGACAACAGTGACTGGTCGAGCGTTCCAGACTGCTCCGGATGAAACGAAGCACAGCACTGACCTTCTTGACGCTCCATAACCCTTGGCCCCTCTCGCCAACGTCAGAGCTGCAGCTCGTCGTGGAAGAAGAGCAACTGAACGCTGACCGCGTGACCCAGGGGCCACACCCCAGCCCAGCGGGAGGCTTGGTCGGTTGGGGCTCTCCTCCACCACTGGGGCACGAGCCGGGGCCACCAGCCGAGATCCCGCCAAGCAACCCCGGTGCTCCAGAAGGCGCCGGCCACACCTACACGTGTCTACGATGCCAGAAGGTACGCCGACTTCCACTGCCGCGAACTGCCCGATCATTCGCCGTGGCGCCTCTGCGGCCGTCTGGAACGTTCTTCCTTCCGATATTAGGACGCCACTAGAGCTATGCGCTTTTAAATCTTGTGGATTGAAAACTCATTTTTCTAAACCTGCTTTTTGTGTTTAGTTTGTCGTCTTCTCCACGCACCTCCGAGTAAGACGGTTGGCTACGTACGGTGCGTAATAAGTTCAAGGTGCATAGATACATGCGCAGCGTGGTCACCGTGGCTACAGCTTGGTTGGCAGTGAATATCACTCCCAAATTTAAGCCTACGAGGATAAATCCTAGCCAGGGTTCGACACATCATCAGCTGGCATTATTACCATCATCATCAGCATCTTCATAATTGTGGGCAGTACAGCAAATTCCATTGCTGACAAGTCTACGCTCCCTTCCCCGCATTGCAACTCACGAATAAACAGCCTGGTGAAGTATGGTCAGACAACCTCTGCGATCTACACGGTGTGGCGAAGCCTTCGATCATTCCTCTGGGGTAAAAACAAAAAATGAGCACAACTTTTCAAAAATTTCACCACGCAGTACAGTATCCAAAAAGTGTTGTATTGATGAAAAAAAAAGTTTGGCTGGCTCGCTGGCCGGAGGGTGGGAAATGATTTTTATATATTCTAATTGTGCTATTGGTGTCCTAAATAATGTGGAATTTCCACCACTGATAACTGGACAAGTAATGGAGAAGACCACTGCCCAGTCCTCATTTGAGCATGGAAACATTTACCTTACTCTGATATTTGTGGCTGGATATACTGCGTACAATGACGATACCCAGGGCTCAATATCTTACTGAATATCTTCCAGACCGCTGGTAGAATTGAGTAGGTGGCACGTGACTACGGCTATAGCCACAGCGAGAAGTTATACTGGATGTGGTCTTCCGGGTGTGAAAATAATGTCCGTGTCACTGACCCACATAGACTCTTGACTGCACCATTGATCCCAGTGCAAGGTTTGAAATAGAGAAGTTGCATCGGAACTTCTGCAGGAAATTACGAATGCTATGAGGCATCAGACATTCTGATATCATTCACAACAAGAGCTTCTGTGCGTTGGTGTCATAGCTTTTAAAGTAATAATTAATCAAGTAAAAAAAGTCTTACAAAAATGTATAATCTGATCTTTGTTTTTTTCGGTAAAGTCACGTAGAAATAATAATAAAAAATTACATAATATACGACGTTTCGAATGCAACACAAGCAATCATCATCAGGTAGAGGGAAACACATAACCGCAGATAGATATATACAGACCTTAAGTAGAAGGAATTAACACAGACACACCAGGGGATACAGGGAGACGGAGCATCACACTACGTAGTACCACTGCAATACAAATGATCAGAGTGCTTAGCTCATGAGTTGAAGATTGTGAATTAAAATCTCGAGTTGGGAGTCGACTCAGCTCATGACTTTTCAGAGGCAGAAGAATAAAACTATTTTTTGTTAAAGAAGTCAACTGTGGCCCCTGTCAGTGAAATGTGGAGTTTTCAACAGTACCTAATGACCATCAAAGAAAACAAATAAACATTTCCTTCAGGACACCAATGGAGAATGCATTGTACTCTCTGGCTCTTTCGGTAAAGTCACGTAGATAGAAATTGTTTATAAAAGAACACGACGTTTCGGCCGCAACACAAGCGTCCGTCATCAGGTGAGAAATAATGATCTGCTGTTGTGGCTTTATATAGACACGGGAGGGGGGGGGGGAGGGGTTTGTAGAGTCGTGGCTGCAGGAGTTCACGGGGGGGGGGGGGGGGGCAGGGGGAGTGTTTGTAGAGTCGTGGCTAGAGGAGTTCCCGGGGGGACAAGGGGGAGTGTTTGTAGAGTCGTGGCTGCAGGAGTTCACGGGGGACAGGGGGGAGTGTTTGTAGAGTCGTGGCTAGAGGAGTTCACGAGGGACAGGGGGAGTGTTTGTAGAGTCGTGGCTAGAGGAGTTCACGAGGGACAGGGGGAGTGTTTGTAGAGTCGTGGCTAGAGGAGTTCCCGGGGGGATAAGGGGGAGTGTTTGTAGAGTCGTGGCTGCAGGAGTTCACGGGGGACAGGGGGGAGTGTTTGTAGAGTCGTGGCTAGAGGAGTTCACGGGGGGGGGGGGGGGACAGGGGGGAGTGTTTGTAGAGTCGTGGCTAGAGGAGTTCACGAGGGACATGGGGAGTGTTTGTAGAGTCGTGGCTAGAGGAGTTCACGGGGGGACAGGCGGGAGTGTTTGTAGAGTCGTGGCTAGAGGAGTTCACAGGGGGAGTGTTTGTAGAGTCGTGGCTAGAGGAGTTCACGGGGGGGGGGGACAGGGGGAGTGTTTGTAGAGTCGTGGCTAGAGGAGTTCACAGGGGGACAGGGGGAGTGTTTGTAGAGTCGTGGCTAGAGGAGTTCACGGGGGGAGAGAGGGGGGAGTGTTTGTAGAGTCGTGGCTAGAGGAGTTCACGAGGGACATGGGGAGTGTTTGTAGAGTCGTGGCTAGAGGAGTTCACGGGGGGACAGGCGGGAGTGTTTGTAGAGTCGTGGCTAGAGGAGTTCACAGGGGGAGTGTTTGTAGAGTCGTGGCTAGAGGAGTTCACGGGGGGGGGGGACAGGGGGAGTGTTTGTAGAGTCGTGGCTAGAGGAGTTCACAGGGGGACAGGGGGAGTGTTTGTAGAGTCGTGGCTAGAGGAGTTCACGGGGGGAGAGAGGGGGGAGTGTTTGTAGAGTCGTGGCTGCAGGAGTTCACGGGGGGGGGGGGGCAGGGGGAGTGTTTGTAGAGTCGTGGCTAGAGGAGTTCACGAGGGACAGGGGGAGTGTTTGTAGAGTCGTGGCTAGAGGAGTTCACGGGGGGGGGGGGGACAGGGGGAGTGTTTGTAGAGTCGTGGTTAGAGGAGTTCACGGGGGGGGGGGGGACAGGGGGAGTGTTTGTAGAGCCGTGGCTGCAGGAGTTCACGGGGGGGGGGGGGGGGGACAGGGAGAGTGTTTGTAGCGTCGTGGCTAGAGGAGTTCACGGGGGGACAGGGGGAGTGTTTGTAGAGTCGTGGCTAGAGGAGTTCACGGGGGGGGGGACAGGGGGAGTGTTTGTAGAGTCGTGGCTAGAGGAGTTCACGGGGGGGGGGGGACAGGGGGAGTGTTTGTAGAGTCTTGGCTGCAGGAGTTCACGGGGGGACAGGGGGAGTGTTTGTAGAGTCGTGGCTAGAGGAGTTCACGGGGGGGGGGGGGACAGGGGGAGTGTTTGTAGAGTCGTGGCTAGAGGAGTTCACGGGGGGACAGGGGGAGTGTTTGTAGAGTCGTGGCTAGAGGAGTTCACGGGGGGGGGGGGGACAGGGGGAGTGTTTGTAGAGTCGTGGCTAGAGGAGTGCACGGGGGGACAGGGGAGTGTTTTGTAGAGTCGTGGCTAGAGGAGTTCACGGGGGGGGGACAGGGGGAGTGTTTGTAGAGTCGTGGCTAGAGGAGTTCACGGGGGGGGGGGGGGCAGGGGGAGTGTTTGTAGAGTCGTGGCTAGAGGAGTTCACGAGGGACAGGGGGAGTGTTTGTAGAGTCGTGGCTAGAGGAGTTCACCGGGGGGGGGGGGGACAGGGGAGTGTTTGTAGAGTCGTGGTTAGAGGAGTTCACGGGGGGGGGGACAGGGGGAGTGTTTGTAGAGCCGTGGCTGCAGGAGTTCACGGGGGGGGGGGGACAGGGAGAGTGTTTGTAGCGTCGTGGCTAGAGGAGTTCACGGGGGGACAGGGGGAGTGTTTGTAGAGTCGTGGCTAGAGGAGTTCACGGGGGGGGGGGACAGGGGGAGTGTTTGTAGAGTCTTGGCTGCAGGAGTTCACGGGGGACAGGGGGAGTGTTTGTAGAGTCGTGGCTAGAGGAGTTCACGGGGGGGGGGGGGACAGGGGGGAGTGTTTGTAGAGTCGTGGCTAGAGGAGTTCACGGGGGGGGGGGGGACAGGGGGGAGTGTTTGTAGAGTCGTGGTTAGAGGAGTTCACGGGGGGGGGGGGGACAGGGGGGAGTGTTTGTCTTGTGCAGGGACGGGTGGGGGCTGGAGAAATTATCATGTCCATGAGATTTAAATATTGAGTCTTGAATTAGTAAACGCGTATTTTTTAGAAAACAGCACGGGTGGGTGAATGAAAATCACAGCAGTTAAAACGTGCCGTGGTTTATCAATCTCAATCCATCTTCTCGATTAAAGTTTTGTCTGTGTTTGAATATCTGGATGGCTTCATGAACAAATCTCTGATGATTGCCCGAGGGTTTGCAGAGCACCTCGGTCTCGGAGAAAACAATGTCACGTGTTATCAATGTCACGTGTGCCCACAGCGTTGGAACAATGATCCGCCACCACCGGGGTGTTGGTTCTACCGTGTTTCAAATCCGCTTTGTGTTCGCGAACCCGGTCTGAGACACGTCGCTTCGTTTCACCGATGTTACTGCTGCCGCAGACACAACTCCGGAATCACATCCTTCAGCGATGGGATCAAATCACGGATTTTGTGTACTGTATTGAACCGAACTTGGATCTTGTGTTTGTTCAATATTTTGGCAATCCTTTTGGTGACCCCTGCTATGTATGGCAGCGTGATTGGTATTGATTGGGTCCTCAGATGGTTCTCTACCAATGGTTGGGGATGCAGCTTTGCGGATTGTGCGGTCAGAATATCCATTCCTCCTGAGAGCCTGGCGCACGTGCTCAAGCTCACTGGCTAGGTAGTGCTGGTCGGAGATGCAACGGGCCCTATGGTGTAGTGTTTTGACGAGGGAATTCTTCTGGGCTTGGATGGCGGTGGGAGTCAGGCTGGATGGAAGCATGAACAGAGGGACGAACGGAAGGATGGTAGCGTCCATGCGGGCCGATAGTGGGTACGAACAAATAAGTGTCTGAGACGTGGCGGCGTGGTTAGCTATCGAGTGCCCAGGTTGCAGGGTCCAGGCGCCGGGCTGTGAAGAGGAAGTGAAATCGTGCTGAGGAGCTCCTCCCCCGAGTGTTCCTCGCCCCGTGGTCCCCGGCCGACCGCACGAGACCGACACCGAGGCGTCAATCAATGCACGTTCACAATCGGCCAAGTGTCATCGCAGTTTTTTTTGTGTGTGTGCAACAGCTGAGGATTTTTTTCTTCTTCAGATTTACGTGAACCACATTGACGCGCGTTTCCAGCGGGCGCGCACGAACAAGCCGAGCCCGTGTTATCTTCCAGCCGGAGGGGGGGGGAAGTGAAACATCGCAGACGAATGACTAAAAAAACTACGCGCATAGTGCGTGATTGTAGCCAGTAACCGCGTTCGGGTCTGTCTGCCTTCTGTCCATTGTCTTACGGGAAGCTGCTCGTGTAGCGTCTGTTCACGGCTGCCCATTATGTCAACCTTCAAATTATTCACGAAGCCACGCCGAGCAAACCTCCAGCTACGGGTCAATCTCAGATCTCTCGAACTATGAAGGAATGACATTTGATTTGTTATACTCACATACTGTACTGTTCTTCTTGGTTTCCATCCTGTGTCTTTCTTAATGAGCCGTGATAATTTGAATAGAAGTTGTTTGGAAGTCGATGTACTAGGTAAGCATCCTTGCAAAAAATGCACCCCGCAAGACAACATGATAGCAGTGCATCTCGGACGCAGTGTGCGAGTCCAGTATTAAGTTTAAATAAACTAAATATGAGAGATTCAATCCCATTACGACAGTTATATTCAGGGTGTCGCTGCAAAATCAAAGCATAAATCATTTGACATGGTGCTAAGAGTGACAATAATGATTTTCAGTCTACATAAACCCATTGCTCTAAGAAGAGCAATGGGTTTTTGTCTAAATCTGTTGCTGTGACAGTCCTCGGGGTTTCCTCGTAAAGACTTCACGGATAAGCGCCGGGGTTGGTGAAGGACCGCCTCAGACATCGCTCGCCACTCATGTTGGCCCATGTTGGCCCATGTTGGCTCATGTTGGCCCATGTTGGCCCATGTTGGCCCATGTTGGCTCATGTTGGCCCATGTTGGTCCATGTTGGCTCATGTTGGCCCATTGTTGGCTCATGTTGGCCCATGTTGGCCCATGTTGGCCCATGTTGGCCCATGTTGGCCCATGTTGGTCCATGTTGGCTCATGTTGGCTCATGTTGGCCCATGTTGGCCCATGTTGGCCCATGTTGGCTCATGTTGGCCCATGTTGGCCCATGTTGGCTCATGTTGGCCCATGTTGGCCCATGTTGGCCCATGTTGGTCCATGTTGGCCCATGTTGGCCCATGTTGGTCCATGTTGGCCCATGTTGGCCCATGTTGGCCCATGTTGGCCCATGTTGGTCCATGTTGGCCCATGTTGGCCCATGTTGGCCCATGTTGGCCCATGTTGGTCCATGTTGGTCCATGTTGGCCCATGTTGGCCCATGTTGGCCCATGTTGGCCCATGTTGGCTCATGTTGGCCCATGTTGGCCCATGTTGGTCCATGTTGGCCCATGTTGGCCCATGTTGGTCCATGTTGGCTCATGTTGGCTCATGTTGGCTCATGTTGGCCCATGTTGGCCCATGTTGGCCCATGTTGGTCCATGTTGGCTCATGTTGGCTCATGTTGGCCCATGTTGGCCCATGTTGGCCCATGTTGGCCCATGTTGGCCATGGCCGCGGATCGAATTGAGACCGCCGGAGGTAAATTACTTCATGGGGTAGCCACATGGCAAAACAAAGTCGTGCACTACTGCAAGACTAATGCCCACTTGCTGGCCGGTGCTGCGTTCACCTTGTGCGCCGCAGGGACAACTGCCACAAGGGGCAGAGTCGTCCCTGGGGTACGGCCAATTGAGGCGGCCGTCCTGGGCCCCGCGCTTTGGGGGGGGTGGGGGGTGGGGGAGGGGGGCGGAGGCGTGTCAGATGCAATACAGGGTGCTTCAAAAAAATGTTAACCCTTCCGAGAGTTTGCAACAAAACCTGAAGTAATGTGCTGCTGCCTCTGGGCTCTGGAGACCACCTGGAGAAGACTCCAGGGACGTGTTGAGAATGTTGGCGAACAAGTGGAGACTTTTGAAGCTATTAACATGCATTTTTTTGTTATCTTGCTACATACAGGGTATTATCCGCTAATTTCCATTAAAAAGATAGTCCCATGTAAGTGTTAACATTTTATTGAAGCACACTGTACTTCTACTTTATACTGTTTTTTTTCGGTAAAGTCACGTGACTTTACCGAAAAAAACACAAAGAGCATGAATCCTTGCAGTCACGAAAGCTTCAAATCTAGAACTTCTAGTTCAGTTGACTTTGCCCCGTGCCACCGCAGCCCCCCCCCCCCCCCCACCCTGCCCCCCCACCCCATGGACGGGCCTGACCAGGGCGGGGGTCCCCTTGCCGCAGGGCTCCTCGAGGTGTTCCTCCGTGGAGAGGTTGCGGCAGAGCGTCACGTTGAGCTGCGTGCCCTGGTGTGCGCGTGCCTCCCCTTGCAACGCCCCCGTGTGGAACGCAGCGCTTCGCCACGCCGCACGGCCTCGAGGTGCACGCCCGGCGCGCCCACGCCGGCACGCGCCCCTTCGCCTGCGCCCTCTGCCACAAGACGTTCGGCCACGCGCTCAGTCTGGAGAGACATCGGGCCACCCACGCGCAAGTGAGTTGCGGCCACGCGCCGCGTTGCTGGCAGGCCCAGCTGGGACCCACGGCGAGATGATGGCCCCCTCCTGCCGTTACGTGTTTGCTATTGGCAGTATTTTTTTTTTAAATTTTATTTTACCGGGTGCAAGGCCCACTGAGCTGTGTGAGCTCTTTTTTTCAGAAGCGACCTGGCCACAAATGATAGGACAACGAAGTGGCTTACAACGTGGACATTTCTAGCAGCCAAATATTCGAAACGCACGATGTAGATTCTAAATGTGGAGGGAAAAACCGGATGACCCGGAGAAAAATCCACGCGACCACGGGGAGAGAGACACGCAAACTCCAAATATACAGTTCAGTTTATTTTGGTATAGCCCTGTGAGCCATTCGGCTCTTGAATCGGGTGCGACCACAACAAACAAAAACACGAACAAGAAAAACATCTTAAAGTGACTATGTGACTGTGCAAACAGAAAATCCATGAAAAAAAAAAACAGCAAAAATATTCTTGAAAAAAGCACCGTACACCACCAACGCTGTGTGCAAAAAATCCCAGTGGGATGCAAGTCAAACAACAACCACAAAAAAGCAGGCGTCAGGGTCGGGATCGAACCCGCAACCTCCTGCATACCAGGCGAGGTAGTTAACGTCTCCAAGCCACCGCTTGTACGGAGCCACGCCCGCTCAACCCACCGATTGGGCGGCCCTCCTCACTCCCTTTGGCACCGGCTGCGCCCAATACCCAGGTAGCCCCGCCCACTACCGAGGTAGCCCCGCCCACTACTCGGGTAGCCCCGCCCACTACTCAGGTAGCCTCACCCACTACTCGGGTAACCCAGCCCACTACTCAACTAGGCACGCCCACTACTCAGGTAATCCCCCGCCCACGACTCAGGTAGCCCCGCCCACTCCTCGGGCAACTCCACCCTCTGCCTGTGTCACGAGCCGAGCTTGGGTCTTGAGAACATTGAAAGCCAGCGATACAAAATAACGATTCTGCACAAATGCTTCGTGAGACGGGGACGACCCTTCTGAAACTGTGCCGGCCACGCAGCTTCGCAGCAGTGACGGGTTACTGGGGACCTGGCTTTCTTCCCCTACATAGGAGTTGCGTTCAAACGAGTGAAGCTGGGAGCGCGGCAGGCAGTAGGTGCTGTCAGACACCTGTGACACGTCACGGTCAACATTTCCCGCACTGTTGCGCAAACTGAAAATAATCATCGGCACACGTGTGTGTGTGTGGTTTTTTTCGTGCAAAACTTTCACTATAGGCGAGACACAATTGGAAGCGTTACACGTTGTCAGTGTAATGCAAATATCTCACACTGCAAGCGAGGCGCCCAAGTCCCGCTGTCAAAACATCTGGGAAAATGTGAGCGTTAAAACCGTAAAAGCCACGGATGAAAGTAACTTAATTCTCAGGGTGGTCACGAAGGTTAATTTACCTTTCGGATGAGCAGGTGTGGGATGTGGGTCGTGCCTCTAAAAGCGGGCCGCGTGGATTTTGCTCCGTGATCTCCGCTTTTGCCCCTCCCTCCACATTTAAAGTCAACGTGCGTTTCGATTATTTGGCCGCTCCTATGAATTCCCACGTGCGACGACGACGATGATGATATCAGCCCACTGCGATGAGCTATCGTGGCGTGGGCCAGGTCGCCTCCGGAAAAAAAAAACAGAGCTCATAGCTCGCTGGGCTTCACCTGGTGAACAAAATAAATAAACGTCGATGCGGGGGGCCCACGCTCGGTGGGTCTGAGTGCGATCACTTCGCGTTCTCCCGACGGTGGCAGGAGCGCAGCTTTGTGTGCAAGATCTGCAGCAAGACGTTCAAGCGGTCGTCCACGCTCTCCACCCACCTGCTCATCCACTCGGACACGCGGCCCTTCCCGTGCATCTACTGCGGCAAGCGCTTCCACCAGAAGTCCGACATGAAGAAGCACACGTTCATACACACAGGTGAGACACGTTCAAACACACAGGTGAGACACGTTCATACACACAGGTGAGACACGTTCATACACACGGGTGAGACACGTTCATACACACAGGTGAGACACGTTCATAGACACAGTTGAGACACGTTCAAACACACAGGTGAGACACGTTCATACACACAGGTGAGACACGTTCATATACACGGGTGAGACACGTTCATACACACAGGTGAGACACGTTCATAGACACAAGTGAGACACGTTCATAGACACAGGTGAGACACGTTCATACACACAGGTGAGACACGTTCAAACACACAGGTGAGACACGTTCATACACACAGGTGAGACACATTCATACACACATGTGAGACACCTTCACAAACACAGGTGAGATACCTTCACACACACAGGTGAGACACACATTCACACACACAGGTGAGACACCTTCATACACACATGTGAGACACCTTCACAAACACAGGTGAGATACCTTCACACACACAGGTGAGACACACCTTCACACACACACACACAGGTGAGACACACCTTTACACACACAGGTGAGACACACCTTTACACATACAGGTGAGACACACCTTCACACACAGGTGAGACACACCTTCACACACAGGTAAGACACCTTCATACACACACAGGTGATTCACACCTACACACACATACATGCAGGTGAGACGCACACACAAATCTATGCACATCTAGACACCTTCATAATATTCAGACAACACACCTGTACACAGAGATGAGATACACACACCACCGCCTACACACACATGCACACAGGTGACACAGACATGAACACAGGTGACACACATACACACAGGTGAGACATACACACACAGGTGACACAGACATGAACACAGGTGACAGACATACACACAGGTGACACAGACACACACACAGGTGACACAGGTGACACAGACATACACACAGGTGACACAGACATATACAGGTGACACAGACATACACAGGTAACACAGACACACACAGGTGACACAGACACACACATAGGTGACACAGACACACACACAGGTGACACACACACACAGGTGACACAGACACACACACAGATTACACACACATACACGCAGGTGACACACAAATACACACAGGTGACACACATACACACAGGTGACACACACATGCACGCAGGTGACACAGACATACACACAGGTGACACAGACACACAGGTGACACACACAGGTGACACAGACATACACACAGGTGACACAGACACACACAGGTGACACACATACACACAGGTGACACAGACATACACAGGTGACACACATACACACAGGTGACACAGACATACACACAGGTGACACAGACATACACAGGTGACACACATACACACAGGTGACACAGACATACACACACACAGGTGACACATACATACAGACAGGTGACACACACATAAACACAGGTGACACAGACATACACACACAGGTGACAGAGACACACACACAGGTGACACAGACACACACACAGGTGACACAGACACACACACACACACAGGTAACACACACAGGTGACACAGACACACACACATACACACAGGTGAGACACACACACAAGTGACACAGACACACACACACAGGTGACACAGACATACACACAGGTGACACAGACATACACAGGTGACACAGACACACACACAGGTGACACACACACACACAGGTGACACAGACATGCACACAGGTGACACACATACACACAGGTGACACACATACACACAGGTGACACACACATGCACACAGGTGACACACACATACACACAGGTGACACAGACACACACACAGGTGACAGACACAAGTGAGACATACACATACACAGGTGATACAGACATACACAGGTGATACACACAGGTGACACACACATACACACAAGTGACACAGACATACACACACAGGTGACAAACATACACACAGGTGACACAGACACACACACAGGTGACACACACATACACAGGTGACACACACACACAGGTGACACACACATACACACAGGTGACACACACATACACACAGGTGATACAGACATGCACACATTTTTCCCTACACATTTAGACACCCATTTAGAGTATTTGGCTGCTAGAACTGTCCACGTGATTATAAGCCACTTCGTTGAGCTACCAAATGTGGCCCGGTCGTTTCTGAAAAAAAGAGCTATTTAGCTCATTGGGCCTTAACTGGTAAAATAAAAATAAAATAGTTTAGTTTAGAATCTCAGGGGTCACTCTGCAAGTCTCTGGATGTCATTGGCATCGCCGTGGTTCGTATGGGCCCTGGTAGAATAAATAAACAGGTGCGGGGGGGGGGGGGGAACGGGCGGTGAATTTTCCTCGCTCTCCCTGAAACCCCGGTGCAGTTGCACCGCCTGCACGCTCGACAGCTCGGCCGCTGACCTCCCGACCCCCCGCCTGTGCGTCGCCTCCCAGGGGAGAAGCCGCACCGCTGCGGTGTGTGCGGCAAGGCCTTCAGCCAGAGCTCCAACCTCATCACGCACGCGCGCCGGCACGCCGGCGCCCAGCCCTTCCTGTGCGCGCACTGCGGCCGCGCCTTCCAGCGCCGCGTCGATCTGCGGCGGCACGTCGACACCCTGCACGGAGCCGGAGCCGCCGCCGTCGTCACCGCCGCCGCCGCCGCCCCGGAGTGCCCCGAGTCCTGCTCGCCGTACGGGGCGATGCGTCGCGACGCTCGGAGGACTCCGCGGCAGGACGCGGAGCGGGACGAGCGGGAGCGTCGCCAGCGTGTTCTGCATCGTCTTGAACGCGAACATCTGCAGCAGCAGCAGCACCAACATCAGCAGCAGCATCATCATCATCATCAGCAGCAGCAGCAGCATCATCAGCAGCAGCAGCATCATCATCATCAGCAGCATCAGCAGCAGCTGGCGAATGTCGATTTCCGATTTGGCCGCGCGTACGACGGGCGCTGCTACGCCGCGCTGTTCGGCGGCGCGGCCGACGAGGGCTTCGTCGTGCCGGGCTACGAGGGCCGGCAGCTGTATGAGGCGCTGCTGTGGGCGGCGTGCCCGCGCCCGCCCGCCAGCGGCGGCGGCGGCGAGGGGCGGCCCTGCCACCCGGCCTGCCCCGGCGGGCCTCCGCCAGAGCACGCGTGGCACTCGTGCCGCGCGTGAAGTGACACGCGCGGCGCCTTAGTGCGCGCGTCCGTGTGTGTGTGTCCGTGTGTCCGTGTGTGTGTCTGATACGGGAGATCTTTGTCTTTGTCTGTGTGTATGGGCAGTGGTGTGGGGAGCGGCGGTGTGGCGGTTAGCGCTACGCTGCGCTACGAACCTGGCGACCCGGGTTCGATTCCCTCTAACGGCCAACACCAGTGACAATTATCTGAATCGGTCCTTGGTCCCCTCCTAGGTCGACTCAGCCTCAATTGAGTACCTGGCGCGAGACAAAGGCGTGGTGCTGACCACCCACCCCCTCGTGGGGCCGTGCCGGCCATCACAGGTTGCTACTCGCTAACAGCACTTGCCCCTACAGTCACGGGGGATTTGCTGTGTATGTGTGTGTGTGGGGGGGGGGGCTTGTGATGTTTGCTCATTCATATTCCATGCACCGTCTCAGTAACCGATCTTCTTCTCCACACTCCACACCTGCCTCGCCCATCGCAATCTCGAGTTTACCCTTCCTCATTGCGGGGCTCCATTTCTGTTCGACGTTGTAAAGACAACTGCGGATCGATTTTCACATCGCTCACCGAGCATTCTGATTCACAGTCCACTTCAGGCCTGACTTGCTGCGGCAGAAGAAGCCTCCCTGTTTTACGTGGAGCCGGCGATGAATCACCCCCCCCACCCCCCTAGTGAGGAGCTCTCGTCTGGGCTCCAATTCCAATTGTCTCGCGTGGCGGAGCCCAAACGTACTGGAGAGGATGAAGTCACGGCAGATGCAGCTCTCTCGTGAACTCACGAGGGGTGGCGGTGGTCCTACACAACCCCGACCAATGTGTGCTTGTCGGGAGAAGTGAGCCACACGGATCCTCTCCTGAGATGCCCTGCAGCACCGCGAATGGCACTCCTCAAGACTTGGCAACGCCAAACACCAGAAGCGGTCTTCTGTCCAACCTCTACACCGCCGTGTAGAGGTTGGACAGGAAACGCGACGTAGAATAAGAAGAAGAGGAAGACGATACAAACTGTGAAAGTACTGCGTCGGTATTGGCGGCACGAGCACAGATACACAACAACTCGATAGTACTGCCACGATTAGTAACAATACGCACTCGGGAAGTATCGACAAACGCAACAACCTCGGTTATCACGAGTGCTGTCATCGGTGATGGTTCATGCAATGTCCCTCCCCTTTCATAGCAGAGCGACACCTTTGCAATTGCCTGAAACGTCACCGATGATGATGACGATGACGATGAGTGACGATGATGACGATGATGATGCACGTACGCGCGTTGAACTTCTTTCGCTACCGCACGTAGCCAATCGGCGGTGCGGATTTGCCCGCACACCGCAGATGCGTCCCTTGCGTGGGGCCAGCGTTAGCAACGAATGCGTTGAGTTAATTTTAACAAACCATGGCGGTCGGGCACGGGACACAGGCAGACGTGTGTGGCACTGTGCCCACAACCACTAACGGTGAGATCATTGCGAACGTGCAGGAAGAGAGAGAGATAGAGAGAGAGAGATACCCCAAGTACGTACACGACGTGATTTGGAACACAGGGACAAGAGCCCACGGGAAGTGGATATCACAGAGCTACCTTTGAGAGTCCTCTTCAAGTCACCTCTGATCCGTGCTATTTGGGTGTGACACTTGTTCCTATCCCACTGACAACACTATTGATCGCATTGCATGCAAACATTTAGATTTTGTATTCCCCAACCTGCAGTCATTTGCCACCAGGCTCAGCCACATCAACAAACTACACTTGAGAACCCAGTTTTTTGTTTTCGAGATGGACGGTTGAAATTATACGTAGAATTTCCCCACCTGATCTGTACTTTGATTTGATATTTCATTATTTATATGGCGTGTGCATTAGAGACCGGAATGTCACCAGATCTAGGTACAAATTAATTACTGTCCAGCCTTACTCGTTAGTATGTCGGTGCCGACTTTAATGATTAGTTTCCAGTATCAGCAACATTCTCGTACCTGTCTTTTTGTGTTTGTTCGTTTGAATGTTCACTGAATGGTAAAGTAGTGCTCCAACTCAATCTTGCAGAAACGCTGGAATGTCACCAGTACTTGTAGATAACGAAACGCAACAGCGCTGCAGCGGAAGGCGTAGTTTTTTTTTTAAATAAAGTACAAAGCGGGAAACCAACGCCGCCTCTCGTGTTGCCGTCGTGTGTTGATGTCGGAGCGTGCGTGCGTGCACGTCAAATGATTAGGTCTTCCAGGCAACTACACACTCAAGGATTAATGCCGCACGGGGAATGTATCTTTTCCACAATAAATAGTTCACCGTGGCACTTGTGTAAATAATATACTGTAATGTACATATAGTAATATGCTACAATGTATATAAGCAGATGTCCATTATGTGTCTGCACATATGCGTAAACATTTGTTTTAGTCCGCCTGCCATGCAATTGGCCCTTCCACGCACCAGTATTCTAGGGCAGCATTTTGCCGAGCTAGCTAACTGGACCGATGTTGACATGCTGGGTCTCATCAGCAGTGTCAGGCTTATTAAACAAATGCTGCTGGGTCACCAGATGTCATTGGCAAGAGCGCTCCACGTCAACTCTGGGCACTCTGTTCAACACAAAGAGCAATGCCGCTTCGAGATTACCCTTTCGTCTCACTTGCAAATTGTCGCAAGATTAATTTAAAGAGGCCCCCTTAGCTTAGGCCAGGCGCAGGCCTCCTTCAGGGCCAGATTTGGCCCGAGGGGAAAAAAATGGATGCCTGGGCTACCGCATGAACGCATCCACGCGTGTAACCCCACAGTCGCCTGGGTGAGTTGAAGAGCCATTGGCCTATGGGTCATCGGGAAAGTTAGAAGTGAACCTGAATCTAGACGGATGATCGAAGTTCCCCAGTAAAAAAAGATAGAATGAAATGCAACCAGGAATGAAATAAATGTAGCAATTGTCAGCCATGACCAATCGACTGCTGGGTGACGTACTCGCAAAGACGACGCCATCTCTCTGTTCCGCGATGGAAACTCAAGGAATCACCGGCTGCACTGCTTCCTCAGCACGTCACGAGCATTTGACAAGATGTTAGCTACCTCGCCTGGTATACTGGAGGTCGTGGGTTCGATCCCGACCCTGACGCCTGCTGCTGTATATTTGGAGTTTGCGTGTCTCTCTCGCACATCATCATCACGGTGGCTAGGAGATGTTAACTACCTCGCCTGGTACACAGGAGGTCGTGGGTTCGATCCCGACCCTGACGCCTGCTGCTGTATATTTGGAGTTTGCGTGTTCTCCACGTGGTCACGTGGATTTTTATTCGGGTCCTCCGGATTTACCCTCCACATTTAGAAACGTGGGTTTAGAGTATTTGGCTGCTATAAATGTCCACGCGATAAACCACTTCGTTGAGCTATCAAGTGTGGCCAGATCGCTTTTGAAAAATAGTTCAGTGGGGCTTACCTGGTCAAATAAGTTTAGTTTTACGCGTGTTCTTTGAAGAACGCATCCCTTTCGTAAATCGAGGGATACCCATAATAATATTTTAAGTTTTTATAGCGTCGTCATTCATGCCAACAGCATCCCACAACGCTGCAAATTAATTTAATATGAGGGCCAAATTCCATATACGCGGTTGGCTTCGTACTGCGGGACAGAAGCCCAACACATACGTACCAAGTAATCGATGAAACCTACTACCAAGCGAAATCTAAAATGAATAAGCTAATTAAAAAACGGCACCAACACACAAAGTACAAGCACCAACACACAGAGCACAAGTAACAACACACAGAGCACAAGTAACAACACACAGAGCACAAGCAACAACACACAAAGTACAAGCAACATCACACAGAGTACAAGCACCAACACATAAAGCACAAGTAACATCACACAAAGTACAAGCAACATCACACAGAGCACAAGCAACAGCACACAAAACACTAGCAACAACTCACAAAACAAGCAACATCACACAAAACACAAGCAACAACACACAAAACACAAGTAACAACACACAGAGCACAAGCAACATCACACAGAGCACAAGCAACAACACACAGAGCACAAGCAACAACACACAGAGCACAAGCAACAACACACAGAGCACAAGCAACATCACACAGAGTACAAGCAACATCACACAGAGTACAAGCACCAACACACAAAGCACAAGTAACATCACACAGAGTACAAGCAACAACACACAGAGCACAAGCAACAACACACAGAGCACAAGCAACATCACACAAAGTACAAGAAACATCACACAGAGTACAAGCAACAACACACAAAGTACAAGCACCAACACACAGAGCACAAGTAACAACACACAGAGCACAAGCAACAACACACAGAGCACAAGCAACAACACACAGAGCACAAGCAACAACACACAGAGCACAAGCAACATCACACAGAGCACAAGCAACAACACACAGAGCACAAGCAACAACACACAGAGCACAAGCAACAACACAGAGCACAAGCAAACAACACACAAAACACAAGCACCAACACACAGAGCACAAGTAACAACACACAGAGCACAAGCAACATCACACAGAGTACAAGCAACATCACACAGAGTACAAGCAACAGCACAGGTTAACACAACAAAGAATTGAGTCTACGAGGTCTACACATCCCGGACCACAATCTCAACTTCCCAACCAAGCCAGGAAACTTTCCATAAGAGGTGCGGTGGTGGAGTGGCCAACAAGTGGTGGTAGTTGTGATGATGGTGGTGGTGGTCGTTGTGACCGTGGTGGTAGTTGTGATGGTGATGGTTGTGATGATGGTGGTTGTGATGATGTTGATGGTGGTTGTGGTAATTGTGATGATGGTGGTGGTAGTTGTGATGATGGTGGTTGTGATGATGGTGGTGGTAGTTGTGATGATGGTGGTGGTAGTTGCGATGATGGTGGTGGTTGTGATGATGGTGGTAGTTATGATGATGATGATGGTGGTGGTTGTGATGATGGTGGTGGTAGTTGTGATGATGGTGGTGGTAGTTGTGATGGTGGTGGTTGTGATGATGGTGGTGGTGGTTGTGATGATGATGGTGGTAGTTGTGATGATGGTGGTGGCGGTAGTTGTGATGGTGGTGGTAGT